AGATTCTCTATCATTTCATAAGATTTTTTTTTTCTCAAAAAATTTCCGACCCTGAGAACAAGTTTAGGATTGGGCCTGCCAACCCTGAAAGGGTTAAACCTTTGACTGTTTTGGTCGTATATATTCGTCTTATGCGCCACTGTTTCGGATGTATTTATACGTGTAAATTCTAGCGGCTTCAAATCAAGCAGGAGAAAGCTGGTAGGCCCCACATGTGAGAGAATGGGTCTCCATGGTCAGTGTGCACCATATATAAAAATTGGGGAGCCAGTGGTGCATTGTGGGAATGCCATTTCAGTCGTCCTTGTTCAGCATGCCTAGCGGTAAGAAATATGTGACTTCCCAGCAAATCTGGGACTCTTCTCTTCCCAAGTGATGCTCTAACAGAGATGGAAGTGTCAGTGAAGATCAATTTTATGGTTTTGAGGAGTTTGAGACCAAAAGCAATGCCCAGGATACCAGAAGAATGAAGGAGAATGAAGAATGAAGGAGAAGGAAGAATGAAGAAGGAAGAATGAAGGAGAAGGAAGAATGAAGGAGAAAGAGAGAGAATGAGGGAGAAAGATAATTAGATAGGATGGAGGGGAAGGGAGCATCAGACCCCATTGTTTTGACAGGCAGTAGGGGGAGTGAGTATGAGACAATATGTCATCTTGACAGCTACCAACTCCTGACTCAAAACAATTATATGCCACACACTCACACGCAAGACAGGCTTGCTGAATGGTGATAATAGCAGTTATATGAAAGTATCCAGTGACTATATATGTGTATATATATTATAGAAACCAGAAGAAAGGAAGAAGGGAAGAAGGGAAGGAAGGACAAGATGAAAGGAAGAAAAAAAGTAAGGAAGGAAGGAAGGAAGGAAGGTAGGAAACGAATGCAGGAAGGTAGGAAAGAAGGAATGATGACACACGACCATTTACCTAGGATATGTTGTGTATCTTTATATGTGTATGCTTCTAGACTGTTGTATTCTGAGCACCTCTGCAAAAACAGTGATAATGTGCGAGTGTGGTGAAAGTGTTGAATGATGATGAAAGTATTTTCTTTTTGGGGATTTTCTTTCTTTTTTGGGTCACCCTGCCTCGGTGGGAGACGGCCGACTTGTTGAAAAAAAAAAAAAAAAAAACTACGTAACACAACTGCCTGCTAATGCTCACAAAAATGCACACACACTCGCTTCATGTTAAAGGAGTGTAAAACACCATTGTATATGACACCATGTTTCACAGAGTTCCACAAGCTGCACAACTTCTAGGAACATGTCCACTGACTGTACATTTGTATATATATATATTATAAAACAATAGTAATAACAAATTTTTTGAATTGTTTGTTTGTGTAAACAAGTTTTGTAAACAATATATTGATAATTATGTTTGTGCATTTATTGTGTTGTATACAACAAGTGTATATATGTACCTCACTTTGAACTCACAGGCCACATAAGTTATGTGAAAAATAAAATAGTGAAAAAACAAGAAACTTTTGAATACAAGTAAACCAAATTTTACTGGGTGAGCGGCAGTCACCGCTGTTGCCATACATGGCTCATTTTCTACCAACCTCACGCCTCTATATCTGGTAAGTACTGATGGCAAAATTTTTTTTTTTTTTCGAATATTTCTCGACACCAGGAGACACTTCAGGATAGGGGCTTGTGACAGTCAAAGGGTTAACCCCTTAAGGGTCCAAATCTGAAGTGGTGCCCCAGTGTCCAAGAATTTAAAAAGAAAAAATTTGTTATTTTTTCTTATGAAATGGTAGAGAATCTTTTTTTGAAGGTAATAAAACAAAAAGTACAAAATTTGATGGAAAATTGACGAAAGTATGCTCTCGCGAATTTTGATGTGTCAGCGAAACTTACGAATTGGCGATTTTGCCGACTTTGACTCCCATTTTAGGCCAATTACATTATTCCAGTCGACCAAATTCTTAGCTATTTCACTAGTATTACTTCTATTCTATCGATTGAGCACAAGAAATCGCCAAGACAACTGTTTCAACTACAAATTAAAGTGATCGGAAATTGTTAATTTGGCCAATTTAACACAAAGTTCAAAATATTCCAATTTCAAAATAGGGTCCAGAATAAACAATGTAGGTATTCCTGGAACTAAACTAACATTTCCTCTTTTCATTAGTTACATTTTGAGGCTTTACAAATAAATTCCATTTTGATTTTTTTTTTCACATAATGAATTTTTATTCACACCAAAAATTAGAAGATTTACTGTTATGCAATATTGTAATAATTGTATAAATATCATCACCACATTTGTGAATGCATATCAGACCCACCAGCTGGCGTGTATTAGACGTGTGAGGTCGTTTGTTTACTCTTGAATATCAGCAAAAATTTAACATTTCTGCTACTTTGAGCTCAGTTTCAAGCCATTTCCAGTGCTAAAACCAATCAAAATCATCTCTATTTCTATAATATGTCTTCCATTCTATCAAATGAGACCAAGAAATTGCAAATACAGCTATAAAAAACATACAAAAAAACACTGCAAAGTCGCTGTTTTAATCGAAAAATCATGATTTCAGTTTTTTTCTCTTATTATACACAGTGTGCTGCAGGATCTGTTTTATGTGGTGCACACATACCACATAGATGTATTCTCTCATATCTAGGCCCAAATGTACCACTCACAGTTTATCAGAGTGAGCTGAGCTCATGACGTAGATCTACGGTTTGGACCCTGAACGTAAAGCCGTAGATCTACGGGACAGACCCTGAAAGGGTTAAGGGTTAATAGATAATAATGTAAACATGTTATCAGGCTTTTATATGCATTCGAAAACGAAAAAAGGCTATGTTTCACCTTACATGGATTTTTGCTTGACAGCAGTAGCCAGGAACCTAACCTGTTGTATAAGTGGGGACTTCTTGTATTTAGTTTCCCTAAGTGATTGCTACTGATGCTGTCAACTTCCTATCTTGCATGTAAATGACAAACCTACACTGGAAAAGAATTAAACAATAATAACACATTAAAAATAACTTACCGATGTAGAACGTTTTGAGTTCTACAGGAAGATCTTCCAAAATTCCCCTCTGAGCTATTGGCACATCCGCTATTTGATACTGACGACACAGGAAAGCTAATATGGCAGGCGGTGCATCAATACAGTCCAGCATGTAAGTCTCAAAACCAAACTTTCTGTGGAATATTAATACATGAGATATTTAATCACTGAATAGCAATATAGAGAGGTACATATGTCAGCTTATTTTTCATGTATAAATTTATCACACAAGACATTAATAATAATAATAATAATAATAATAATAATAATAATAAATTATAGGGGAATAAGTTTACTGAGTATACCAGGGAAGGTGTATGGTAGGGTTATTATTGAAAGACAGAGAGCAGGATTGCATAGATCAAGTGTTTACATTTATTTATTTATTTATTAATTTGAACATGATACAGTGAAGTACAAAGGAATACAGTTATTACAGTGCAACATGCCAAAGCCTCTTGTATGCAGAGCATTATGGGCAGGCTTAAAATTAATTTAAGATTAACTAAGCAATGATATATTCTGCAGTAAAAACATTATTGTAAACAGATAACAATTTAGCACAAATGAGTATTACAAAGACAGGTCATATGGTCATTTACTGTGTTGCTGAGCATTCAGTAGAATGGAGTATTCTGTTAGGTAATGTAATTAAAAAATAAAGTTTGATTGGGTCACAGGTTAGACATTTATGAGATACAATAATGAGAAACATTTATGAGATATAATTATTCAGTATTTATTTAGTTGTGGGTGAGTAAGTGATTTTTGAGAAGAGACTTGAGTTTATAAACAGACAGTGTTTCTTTTATATTCATTGAAGCATATATGTAAACAGTATTTAGATAAAGGTAGAGAAGTTTTCATTGCATTTATAGATTTAGAAAAGGCTAACGATTGGGGAGTAATGTGGCAGATGTTGCAAGTGTATGGAATAGGTAGTTACTAAATGCTGTAAAGCGTTTTTACAAGGATAGTGAGGCTCAGGTTAGGGTGTGTAGGAGAGAGGGAGATTACTTCTCAGTAAAAGTAAATTTTAGTCAGGGATGTGTGATGTCACAATGGTTGTTTAACATATTTATAGATGGGGTTGTAAAAGAAGTAAATACAGTGGTCCCTCGTTTTTCGTAGTTAATCCGTTCATGGAGCTGCTACTATTAACGAAATCTACGATTTGCGAATCAATTTTCCCCATAAGAAATAATGTAAATACAATTAATCCGTTCCTGACACCCAGAAGTATTAAAACAAAAAATTTTTTTACATGAAATATAGATGTAGTACATAAACAATACAGTGGCACATGAATTAAACATTAACACCATAACACTTACCTTTATTGGCGATTCTTTTTAGTGTATGGAAGACTGGAGAGAGATTGGATTGTTTATAGTTTGGAAGGGGAATCCCCTTCCAGCAACACCTCAGGTACCAATTGCTTTTCTGGGGTTGCGTCTCTTCTCTGTTTCTTAATGCCACTAGGACCAGCTGGAGTGTCACTGGAGTCCTGTCTTGCAAAATAACTGTGGAGAGAGCTCTGTTTCTGGCATCTCTTTAACACTTCCCTAAAATGGCCCAAGACTTTGTCACTGTACATGTTGCCAACATGGCTTGCAACAACCTTGTCAGGGTGATGTTTCTCCATAAAGCTTTCCATCTTACCCCACATAGCAAAAATCTCTTTAATTTCTGAAGAAGGCACCTTCTTCCATCTCTTTTCCCCTCCTCCTCTGCAGCAAGTTCTGAGCTGAGAATCTTTTTGCTGTTCCTGCTGAAGCTCTTGCAGCTCCTCAGTGGTGAGTCTTCATTGTTGTTTTCCCACCAATTCTTCCACATCCCCCAAACCCTCACATCCAACCCCATGGAACTCCCCATTTGCCACAATAGATTTAAAACAGACATAGGCTCATCAGGGTCCAGTCCCAAACCCTTCAAAACCCCTTTCTTGTCGACACAATCTGGCCAAATTTTTCTCCAGCAGAGTTCAAAGTCCTGGTAGTCACTCCCTCCCAAGCCATACCTATAAGGGTTATGCAATGGAGAATGCTGAAGTGTTCTCTCCAAAATTCCCTTAGGGTCAAGTGAGTGTCTGTGGTCACAGTCAAGCACCTGTGAAACATTGCTTTGGTGTAGAGTTTTTTAAAGTTTGCAATGACCTGCTGGTCCATGGGCTGGAGGAGAAGAGTGATATTCGGGGGCAAGAACTTTACTGTGGTGAACCCAAACTCCTCAAAAATTAGGTCATCCAAGTTTGGAGGATGAGCAGGTGCATTGTCCATTACTAGCAGACACTTGAGATCCAATTTCTTTTCCAGGAGGTAATTCTTCACACTAGGGCCAAACACTTCACTGAACTACTCGACGAAAATTTCCCTTGTGACCCATGCCTTACTATTAGATTTCCAAAACACACACAATTTACTCTTCATAACATTGTTTTTCCTGAACACTCTGGGATTTTCAGAATGGTACACTAGTAATGGCTTCACTTTGAAATCCCCACTAGCATTAGCACAGAACATTAGTGTCAGCCTGTCTTTCATAGGCTTGTGTCCTGGCACTGCCTTTTCTTCCTGTGTAATGAAGGTCCTCTTTGGTATTTTCTTCCAAAAGAGGCCTGTTTCGTCACAACTGAAAAACTTGTTCAGGTTTCAGGTCCTTCAGCCTCTATGTACTCCTTTGGGAAATCATACACATATTTTTCAGCCGCCTTGTGGTCCGAACTGGCAGCCTCACCATGCCTTACCACACTGTGTATGCCAGTACGGTTCTTAAATCTCTCAAACCAGCCTTTGCTGTCCTTAAATTTTACTCACACACCACTATTTGCAGGCAATTTCTTCACCAGATCATTGTGGGAACTGCCTAGCCTTTTCACAAAAAAATCGAAGTCATAAGAGTATCTCCTGCTAATTGTTTCTCATTTATCCACACCAATAATAACTTCTCAACATCTTTGAGTACTGGTGATCTCATTTTTGTTTAGCATAGTTGCCCCCTTTGCAACAACAGCATCCCTTGATTTCCTTTTTCTTGGCCACTATGGAACATATGGTTGTGTAGGGTTTCTTATTTACTCCTGGCCGTTCAGCCGCACTTGCACCACTTTCATATTGTTCAATGATGTTTTTCTTAAATTCAATCGTATTTCTCACCTTCTTTACCACAGGCTTGGCACTAGGAGCTTTCTTTGGAGCCATGGTAGCTTATTTAGTACTTGCAAGCACTAAAATAAATGGAATATTATGAAATATTTCGCTGGAACACGTGAGAGGACCTTCGCTCACTGGTAAACAATGCCAGACTGGCTGCCGCCCCGGCTCACGCCGTGGGTACGCGTCCCGGACGAACTACGACTCGCGAGTCAACCTATGAAAAGCGAGCCCATGTTTATGAAAAGCGAGGGACCACTGTACTAGGGTGTTGGGGAGAGGGGTGAGATTAAAATATGTGAAATATAATACAAAATGGGAGTTGGTACAATTACTTTTTGCTTATGATACTGTGCTTTTGAGAGATTCTAAAGAGAAGTTGCAAAGGTTTGTGGACGAGTTTAGGAGGATGTGTAAAGAAGTTGCAAATGAACAAAGATAAGAGTAAGGTGATTAAGGTATCAAGCAAGTTAGGTAAGGAAAAATTGGATATTAGATTAGAGGAAGGGAGGAAGTATGGAAGAAGTGAATGTGTTCAGGTATATGGGAGTGGAAGTGTCAGGATGGACATATGAAAATCAAGGTAAACCATAGAAGTGATGAAGAAAAAAAGGTGGGTGGTGTATTGAGGTATCTGTAAAGAACATTATCCATGAATGCAAAGAAGGGAATGTACAAGAGTACAGTGGTGCCAACACTCTTATCTGGGCGTGAAGCATGGGTTGTGAATGTTGCAGCGATTAGGAGGCTGGAGGCAGCGGAGATGTCGTGTCTAAGGGCAATGTGTGGTGTAAATATTATGCAGAGAATTCATAGTTTGTAAATTAGGAGGTGTGGAGTTACGAAAAGTATTATCTAGAGGGCTGTAGAGGGGTTGTTGAAGAGGTTTGGTCATTTTGAGGGGTTAGAGCAAAATAAGATGACCTGGAGGGTGTATAAATCTGCAGTAGAGGGGAGGAGAGGTTATGGTCATCCTAGGTAAATATGGAGGGAAGGGGTAAATGAGGTTTTGTGTGCAAGGGGCTTGGACATGCAGCAGGCATGTGTGAGTGTGTGACAGGAGTGAATGGAGATGAATGGTTTCTGGGACCTGACAACTGTTGGAGTATAAGCAAGGTATGAGTGTGAGTATGGTTCCTTTTCGTACTATGGTGGGGGAAGTCGCGCGTGTTGGAGCTCCGCCAAATTCGTGTGTATCTGGCAATCCCAGAGGGGCCAGAGTGCGGAAAATAGGCGTGTGAAAACCTAAAGTGCATATACGTTTTTAAACACACAGAAGGGAAGCATCAGTGATCATTGAAGAGAAAAAATAGAGATTACAGTGCCAAGTGTTAGAGTGCTAGGCCTCAGAGTAACGGTTGTTATGGAGGGTGCCATATTGGAAATGATTTGTGATTAGCAGTGATAGTAGATCAGTGAGGGAAATAAGAAAGATCAGGGATTAGCCTAAACTCAAAGAGCAGAAAAATTAAGAAACAAAAAAGGACTACTGTTAAACCGACAGGAGAATATAAGATATTATTATTAATAAAAGTGAGGAGAGCGGGTTGTGAACTAGACCTATAGGTGTTACCACACAATGGGTAGTGTTTTAAACTGAAGGATTGTTCTCATCTCATATAAGGAATACAGTGAATGATGAGGTATTGATGTTCAGTGATATAGTGATCTTAAATTGTAGATTACAGCAATGTGGCAAATGCCCAATACATGGTGCATAATATATGGAATATATTCATGGGTCGACCATCACCAGCAATAAAATCATTGCCAGAGGTGACAGTGAAGTGTAAACTATTGTACAAGTTTTAAAACGAGGGAAAAGAATATGACTAGGCAGTGATATAGTAAACTAAATTTGTGGATAAGAGTTAATCCTTTTTAATCCTGAGTGTAGTGTACAATCTATGGTGTAATTATATGGGAACAAGTGTGCAAGTGCCACGTGCACCCCTCCTCCCAGCCCCTGCCTCGTGCCTCCC